GGTTTTGTGGAAGACAATTTTTCCAGTGATGGGGAAGGACCATCAGGCATGAGATTCTCATAAGGAATGCAACCTAGATCCCACGCATGTGCAGTTCCAGTGCGGTTGACTCCTATGAGTCCAGCGCCACCGCTGATCTCAGAACAGCTGACCAGTACTCTTGCCAAGTTGGCATTTTAATTATTCTCGTACTTAGGACACCTGCACTAAGAGCTAAAAATTCCCGAACAATGTCATGCCACTTATGCCGAATCAATGTGTATGACAGCTTTTCCCTTATTTTTTCACCTGCATACTGATTTGTTTCCTTTATTACACTATCCACTAACTCACTTGTGAAAGAGTAAAATAGCCAGTTGGTTCTCTTATATTACTCGCTACCTGTGGTTCTGTTGTTTGAGGATGTTCGACAGAATCTATTCTCACCGGAGGATCATTTTCTTCTGCAACATCTTTCCATTCTTTACTTGATGATACACCGTCGTCTTTGAAACTACTGACACTTTCATTGCTGTCACTTACTACATTCACCCATTCTTCTTGGTGGGATGGTATCCTACTGCTATTATTGTTTTCTTCCACGTGTTTATTTTTTCCTATCTTATCTGTATAAAGGCCTAAATCTAACTCACCTTCACGGCTGCTATTCATATGGCTATTGTTCTGCAGTCTAAATAAACAGATACAAATTGCTAACTGTAAATTATGAAATGAAATTTATCAAAAAATTACTTCCCTTAGCACAGATGGATGTACTCAATCTGTGCCGCTCCATACTTCAGTATGATTTGCCTTCACCTTAACTTGTTGACTGATCTTGTATGCTACAAAGGGTGCACTCACAGCTGCCTTTCTTATACAAAGCTCTACCTTCTGTTACAAAGTGACACCAGTGAGGAAGCACTTCACACTGTTCTCTTTGCCAGCTGTATTTTTTTTTTTTTTGAGTTGGAGTCTCACTCAGTCGCCCAGACTGGAGTGCAGTGGCCGCTCCCGCCACTGCAGCCTCACCTGCTGCTGATGTTTTTAAGGAAATCTCAGTGTATGTTCCATCTTTGCTTTTTCTTGCAATCTGATTGGAAAACTTCAAGGAAACAGATACCTTGGACAATCTGCGCTTGCATAAGTGTATCCTGTATAGTCACCAGTGATCTCATTATGTCTCCTGAGAGGGGACATCCCAGTGCAAAGGGTTAAGCTACGAGTGCCTGACTCAGACTGCTGCTGGCGACTTGTCAGTACCAGCGTCACCACCACTGAAGAGGCAGCCTCTCCGGTTCTTACCAAGGGATGACCAGTCACCCAGCACCCGCAGGAGCAACCTGTAGGAGAGAGCAGGGGAGGAAGTTGGCTGGGCACAGGGCAGCTGTGGCAGCCCATCACCCCACCAACTAGGGCCCCTCAGACCCCCGGGTGTCAAAGGCCCGGGGGGCACAGTGTCCTCAGAGCGGTCAGAGCCCAGTGCTGGACATCATGGAGGCCCCGGTCCCCTCACCCCTTCCCTACTCGGGACCAGGGCCACTTGCTGTCCTGAGGAGGACAACACAGACGAGTGCTCAGAGATCCCCTAGCCTGTTGCTTGCTCCCCCCAGCTACCCCTTCACAGAAACCAGCTTCCATGCTCCAGGAACCCAGGGCACTCACTTGTACATGTCCGCCTGTCTTACAATTTTGGTCCTGAAATGCCTGGACCTGAGCTCTGCTTAAAGGTACACAGTATTCAGTCCACAAAATCCACTGTGTGACGTGGCCACTACTAATCTGACAATTAGATTCCGACAAGTCCTTTTCCCTGAACCCAAACACCTCTTCCTTCCGCAATCCAGCCAGCCTCTATCTCACCCAACTGCACAGTACAGAGGACCCTCTCTGCTCCTGACACCTGCCTGCCTGCTTGCCCCACAGACACAGCAGCTGAGGCTCAGCAGAGTCCTCACTTGTCGAAAGCCCCAGCCTGTAACAACAGAGCTGGGATTTGGACCCACGCCTGTCTGACTGGCTTTCCACAACTGCGAGATGGTTTCTGTATGTGAGCCTAGACTATGATTACTAGCACAAAAGTTGGGTCCCAGAGATCCCTGATATAAAGCCACTGTAGATGGTGAGGTATTTTAGACGTGGCTGGTCAAGGTGGGGCAGAAGCAAGGATTCTTACCTCGTGGGTGGGTGGGGGGAGGGGCTGCAGAAGGACTTGGTGAACATGGGGGAGGAAGCAGGTCCAGGAGGATAGCAAAACTGCGGCCCCTCAGACCTGGGTGTCCCCAGGGGTGACTGGAGACAACTGCCTGACAGTACACAAACTCCAGCCCTTGTCAACTGACACCAAGGCCACTCATCTTCAGGAACAGAGGCCAAGCTGCCACCTCAGAGACTGGGAAGCACAGAATCTACCCAGAGGGCATGAGTGACCAGTTCTGCTTATGGACACACCAAGATGCCCCAACCTCCTGAGTGCCACAGGTCCAAGAGGACCATCCTCAGGCAGTGGGATGCCACACCCATGACATGAAGAGGGCGCCAGTACCTGCCTCTCCCTGCCTCACTTTGCAGATTCTTTCAACATGGGCTATATCTGCTAGTAACCCTAAAGAGGGAAAGTCAAGATGCAAATCCCGGGAAGGACACACTGAAGAGTCAGGAGGAGGGAGCTGATCCAGGAAAAACCACAGCCAAGGCGCAGCCAACGACCAGAGATCGTAGGCACACCAGGCCTGAACGAACTAGCTGTGAAAGACATTTGAGAGATGCCTCAAACAACTAACACAAAGCAGACAGCAAATGGCAGTATTAAGGAATTAACTCCTACTAAGGGTGACAGTGGTAACACCGTTAAGTAAAAAAATGTTATTTTAGGCTGGGTATGGTGGCTCACATCTGTAATCCCAGCACTCTGGGAGGTAGAGGCGAGAGGATTGCCTGAGTCCAGGGGTTTGAGACCAGCCTGGGCAACTTGGCAAGACCCTGTCTCTACAATATAAATAAAAAAATTAGCTAGGCATGGTGGAGCGCACCAGTGGTCTAGCTACTTGAAAGGCTGAAGTGGAAGGATCGCCTAAGTCTGTTATAGCTGCACCGCGAGTAAGGAGTCGCCAACACATTGAGAGTCAAATATTGAGTCCTTTAATGCCAGCGGTCAAGAGCAGGCTCACACCAGAAAAAGACTCTCGACCCCAAATGAAGTAGTGGGTTTATATAGTAAAAACCATAAGGTTACAGAGCTTTGGTTCTGAGTAGGAAACAAAGGATTTTTCGTTAACCCATAGGGGGCAAGTGTAAATTACACAGCTTGACAGAACTGTTTCAGGAATGTTACAGCCCTCCAAGGGAGGGACCATAAGTCGTGGGACATGTTTTATGGCCTACTGGAAAGGTTAGGGCAGTGACATGGAGGAGGAGTGAGAGAGGGAACTGGAAGGCAAAATGGAAGAACTACCAAAAATGAAGTTCCCTTGGTTAGGTCACTAACAGCCATTCCAAGTCCAGCAGGTCAAGGCTGCGGTGGCCAGGAGCACGCCACTGCCTTACAGCTTGGGCGACAGAGTGAGACTCCCACTCAAAAAAAAATAAAGTTATCTCAAAGACACAAGCATCAACTGTTCTGGATGAATTAAGAAGACATAAATGCATTATTTTTTGAGTTGGAGTCTCCGTCACCCAGGCCGGAGTGCAGTGGCGTGCTCATGGCTACCGCAGCCTCGATCTGCTGTACTCAGGCTATCCTTCCACACAGCTGGAACCACCAGTCGGGCTACCACACCGGGCTAATTGTTTGTCCATGTTGTCCAGGCTGGTCTTGAACTCCTGGGTTCAGCCAATCCTCTTGCCTCTGCCTCCCAGAGTTCTGAGATTATAGGTGTGAGGCATCACGCCCAGCAAAAAGAATATTTTCAAAACACTAAATACAGGTACAGTAACTTCTAGACCAAGCGTGGTAGCTCATGCTTGTAATCCCAGCACTTTGGGAGGCCGAGGTGGGGGGACTGCTTGAGGCCAGGAGTTCGAGACCAGCCTGGGAAACACAGTAAGATCTAAGCCCTACAAAAAAACAAAAAACAAAAAACAACAACACTCCAACACCCCTCCTCTCGCATCCCCTAGAGTCCTTGACCTAAGGTGCACAAACATGCCAGCTGCTCAGGATTAAAAGCAAATCAGGGGCGATTCCCAGGAAAGCACCTGCAGCTAACACGGGGCCGGGAAACCCCAGAATGAACTCAAGGTCACCCACCCCCCGCCGAACCCCCATCCCTCATGGCCAAGATGGCGGAGCCCGCGGCGTGGGGGGGAGAAATGGCGAGGCCCTCTGCGGTGCCGACTGACGGCCGATCCCCGGCACCTCCCACTCGCCCCAGCGGTGGGAGCCTCCACCACCCCTCAGACTCTTCCCGGAGCGCGCACGCCACATCCTTGCTAAAGCCGGACCCCGTGCACGCGACCACGTGGCCGACCCGCGCAGCTCCAAGATCCTCCAAACACACACGTCTCTCTTCCCAACGCCCCGTCACAAAGACGAAAAAAGATAAAAAAGAAGAAAAAAGTCCAAACCGAAGCAGACGACACCCACCGAGCTCTCATTCCGTCCACGGCGTGCGCGAGCTGCAAAGCGCCCGTTTTTATAGAGCGCGCCCGCGCAGGGCCGGGCCTCGGCACCAGACCGGGTTCCGCCTGAGGCGTCCAGTCCACGCGCCTGTTTGGGAGACCCCGCTTCGGGGCTTGGGGAAAGAAATAATGCCTGTTCCGCTGGAATCCTCCGAACAAAAGAGGAGACCATGTCCCTGGAGGCGGACAAGAAGGAGCAGGGACATTTTAGAAACGATTGTCTTGTCATCCGCGTCAGGCAGTTCTGTGAACAGCCCCAACGATGGGCCGTAAGGCGTAAAGGACCCCGGGGTGGGCGGGGCCAGAAAGCGAAGCCACCGGAACCGCCGGCGCGGGCTCGGCGCGAGGTGTGGCCGCAGGGGCGGGGCCGAAGCGGAAAGACCGGACGGGGCTAGTGCGGAGATGGACAGGGGGCGGGACGGGGACGCGCCCACGTGGCGCCAACTGGGCGGAGTCGGCAGGATGGGAGGCCGGGCCGGAAGGTGGGACCCGCTTCTTGGGGAGGAAGAGAGTGGGGTCCTGGGCTCCCGGGTCGTGAGGGGAGCGTGGGAAGGGTGAGAGGGCTGGCATCCTGGGGTTCCGGTCCGAGGGAAGAAGGGCTGGGATCCCGGACTCCCGGGCCTGTGAGGGGAGGAGGGGGCTGAAGTCTGGTCTCGCGAGTCAGGGGGAGG